TAACATTCAAGAGACATGACAATTGCTTCTCGAATGGGATCTATCGGGGGATTGGTCACCTGGGCGAAAAGTTGTCTGAAGTACTCATAGAGGAGCCGGGGTTGCTGTGCAAGGCATGCGAGCGGTGCATCGTTGCCCATTGAACCGAGGGCTTCCTTGGAGTCAGCGGCCATAGGTCCCAGCAACAAACTGACCTGCTCGAACGAGTAGCCAAAGGCTCGAAGTCGAGGATCTTCTTGGATGGTGGATTCTGTGAGCTTGTAGTTCAAATCGACCTCCTTGCTGATCGCCTCATATACCTGGGGCATCTTCATCAAGTTCTTGTTCAGCCATTGTTGGAAAGGTTGTCGGTTTGCAACAGTGGCCTTGAGTTCGGCATCGTCGATGATACGACCTGCCTGGGTGTCGACCAACAGCATCTTTCCCGGCTGCAGGCGGCCCTTGATGATCACTCGTTCCGGTTCGATGGCAATTGTACCAACTTCCGAGGCGCAGATGATCCTATCATCGTCCGTCACGTAGTAGCGGCACGGTCTGAGACCATTTCGATCCAAGTTAGCGCCACAGTACCTGCCGTCCGAAAACGTAAATAGAGCGGGACCATCCCACGGCTCCATCAAACAGGCAGCGTATTCGTAGAAGGCGGCTTTCGCGGGATCGATGGCGGGATTACCCTGCCACGCCTCGGGAACCATCATCATGACCGCTTCGGGCAAAGAAAGCACTCTGTTCATCACCAAAAGCTCCAAGACATTGTCAAATGCAGCGGAATCAGAGCCTCCATCCTCGACAATAGGGAAGAGCTTCTCGAGCTCTTCGCCGAATAGGTCAGACTTCAAGACACCCTCTCGCGCTCTCATCCAGTTCTTGTTCCCTCTTAGCGTGTTGATCTCGCCATTGTGAGCTAGCCATCGAAGCGGCTGTGATCGGTCCCACGAGGGAAATGTGTTGGTGGAGAAACGGGAGTGTACCAGAGCGAAGTGGCCTTCATAGTCCACCGAAACAAGGTCATGGAAGTATTGATAAACTTGGACCGGAGCCAGCTGTCCCTTGTAGACGATGTTTCTGTTGCTTAGAGAGCAAACATAGAACCATGGTTTCCACCGCGGATCGTGCGAGACAGTCTTTCTTAGGATATAGAGTCGCCGCTCGAACTCGACGTCATCGAATTGTTCAGGGTCGGTGATTTCAGGTTTGTTGCCAGTGCCGTAAGCGGAGGTCAGGACGACGAACGGTTGCAGGATGATGGGCTCGCGCGACAACGCCGCAGGACCAAGCAGGGTGGAGTCCCGGGGAACCTCTCGCCAGCCCAGTGTGCGCAGACCTAGCGACTGTGCGGCCTCTTCGAAGCTGAGGGTAGCATGTTTCAGCATCTCAGTATCGGGTTTGAAGAAGAGGTTTCCCGCTGCATATTGGCCCAGAGGAGGTAGCTCTACTCCGACTTCGCGGGCAAAGTTCTTGATGAAGAATTTATGGGGAATGGATGTCATGACACCCGCACCGTCGCCATCTCGTGCATCTGAACCCACGGCACCCCGATGGGTCATGTTACATAGGAGGTTCCGCGCTAATGAAAATCAGTCTCACGGCCCAGAGAATACTTAGGGGAGCGAAACCTACCATCGCTGATGATCTTGTGGCTTGCCTTGCCCTTGATATTGCTAGAGTATGTGTCAGCAACCCAAGGCTTGTGAAGGGCGTTTCCTCGCAGGGCGAATCTTACGCAGCAAAGCCTACACCGCAGGCATCTTTCTCGAGGCCAGGGTCGTACAGACCTTGCTTCTCTGGCAAAGCCTCACCCCAGCCATAGCCCTTGTCGGGCTGGTACGGAGTGTACTCTTCCTGGACCTCTGATGTATCGATCTCTTGCTGTCTTCGTTCCTCGGCTACTGAGCCCATCCTATGGTCGACTAGCGACGGCGTTTTCTGAAGGAGAGTATAGAGGAGAGACGGGCAGCAACTGCTGTCAGATTGGTCGTTGGTCTTGTTTTTGTTGGAATAGAGGAAACGCTGCACCAGGGCAGGCTATGGATGGTCTGATGTCCGGCAGCAAGGAGGCTGTCTCTCTGTATGGTGAGCTCCAGCACCTGCAAGTGTGTTCGGAGGAGGACTGTCAGGTCGAGGCAGTGTCGAGCTGAAAGCAGAGAAGACAGAAGGATGAACGAGTAGAGGGTGTGGACGAGAGGAAGAAAAGAAGAATTTCGGGTCAGGCAATGTCAGTCCAGCGACCAAAGGTGTGGGGTTGGAATTTCGACAGTGCAGAACTTTCTACCCTCGTCAGTTAGTGTCAGTGCGCAAGGGAGAATTGGCCACTGGCAGTATGGACGACGCGGAGAGTGGTTGCGACAGGCTGATCCAGCATGTGATGTCGGCAAATGGAGGACCACCTTCGCTAGATGCACTAGGTCGAGGATTCGTGGTTTACAAAGCACGGACTGTTCTGGCAGGTAAAAAAAACTTCACCTCGAACCCGATCGTTACAGCAACAAAGTGTGAAGCAAGCAGTCCCAGAATAAGCTGGGAGCACCAGTTTCCAAGGTGGGGGGCAGCCCCAAGATTGTTAGTGGGGGGCGCTCGGAAGGCAGCTACGCAGTTCTGCATCATGGGCAGCTTGTTTGGGGGCATCCGATAGGTGGCATGGCGTTATCCTCCCAACCTCTCCATCACGATGCATGTGCTGATAAGAACCGCGCCAGCCAATCACCATCATCGCTTTTCCACTACATTACATCTTGGAATCTCAAGCTGTAGAAAATTTTTGGCCGTGACCGGCGCCCTCCTCCTCAGTTCATCTCCAGGGCACGGACTGGTGCCACTGGTGCCACTCATTCTCATACCTAGGTAAGCTTGTCCATCCAGTTCCTGTGTGTCATAGCCCTAGCTGCACTCCACCTGCAAAAAAGTCTAGACGCATCAGATTTCCCCAATATGCTTCTGCTCCTCGCTTACATTCCAGGCCAACCAGAGATGACGGGCGTGAAGTGCGCTGCTTTGACCCAACGGCCTTTACCGCGAGCCTCTCAGACAGAACCCGGGCGCGCATTGTACTACATACACCGAGCACACCTGACAGTCAAAAATCCTCTTCCGGCATTGCCCGGGCCATGACTACTGCAAACAACGGAAAAAGAAAATTCTCACTCCCTGCTTTCTTGCGAGAATAGAAGAAGCTACTGAAAGAAGTCATGGGCTCCTGCTGACTTACAAGGCCAGCAGCGAGCAGGATGTGTTTGCCCTAAAAAACTAGCCACATATTCTGTCGCCATTCACAATGCGATATTGAAAAAGCGCTGTCACGAGAGATCCTTTATGTCCAAGAGCTTTTTTGCATGAAAGCGGTGCTTCCGTCCTGTTGCTGGGAAGACGCACCCCACGCTGGGGGGCGTTCGCCAGCTGGTAACATGCACGGGGGAGATGGCTGATCAGGTTGCATCACACAGCTCCAGTCGAAGCGAGCCAGTGCCATGTGTGAATTGCTGGGTATTTTCGCCCTGGTACCACGGCGCCCCTCGCCAGCAACGAGTCGCCGCGGAGGACCAGTTAGATTTCGGCTGATTTACTTTACTCATTCCACCATCCATCGGCTCTCGAAGAGATCATGAACTTTCAACAGCCTAGGAACCAATCAGAAGTGGGAACACCCATGCTGATGCGGCCACCCAAGTGCCGCTCGCTCGGCGGCACTAAAGTCGCCCATCCGAAATCGGACACTGTGATGCTCTTGTCCCCTGTTCCTGGCGGGACCCTGCATGCAGAATGAACACATCAACCCTCTTCAAGCCTGAGCCGCATTCAAATTCCGCTCTGTTCATTGGCAGATCTGAAATCCATTTTGTGGAGCTTCGCCCTTACCCTGTGGAGCTTTTCCCATGGCTTTGGTTGCTGTACCGAGTAGGCTGTCATTGTCTGGATGTGGAAAATGTTTTGAGGGGTGTAAACACAGCTTGGAATATCTTCGGTCGAAATTCCCCGCCAGCGTGTTGGTACTTAAGAGCCTGGTCGTCTGGCGGGTTCCCTTGAGTGGATTCTGCTCACTGTTTCACCACGGCCGCTGCACTCAAGTGAATGGCGCCCAATGTGGCTCGACCCGGCTGCAACGGGCTGCAGGTGCGATTCTATGTGTCCACGAAATCAGACTTCATCGTTCAGTCTACGCGAAATCGCCTCTGCCTTCGGGGATCGTCGGCCTCAGGTGTCCAAGCCATACAGACCACCAGTGGCCACCTCGCAAAGATCGTCCGTTTTCGCTTGGGTCAGGCTGAGAATAGGCATGTATATGGTAATGATTTCCAGGTGACTGTTTACCCCAGTGCGAGTTCCCCTGTACAATAAGAGGGGGAATAGTTGCAGTAAGGGTCTGTCTACCGTGTGTCTCTGCCACAGGCTGGAGATATCTTGTTGCGCTGCTATAGCATAACTACGCTGGATACGAGGCGGTTGTGATAATGTCGCGTAAGCGGTTTTCTGATGGAGGAGTCGGAAGGAGGTCATCTCTGGTGAACAAGGCCACGGCTTCGTAATGCGTTTTCTAAAAAAGATGCTAATCTCTGGGCCAATGAACACACCAATTCCCCGGGTTGGGCACTCTGTGAGGTAATAGAATGGTGTCGCATGCCAGGGAACTCCAGGCGTATACGACCAAGCACTCGTTTCTGGGGTATATCGGTTTCTTATTCGATAGCTACTCGAATCACAGTGTCTTGTTGTGATGCACCCAGAGCCAAAAGACCATAATATTGGACGCCAAGCCCTTTGCATTGTGTGAAAATGGAGAAATATTTTTCCGTTGCGATTTTTCGCGTCTCCCAAGACTCGCGCGTTAGCGACACCTTCCCCGGATTGAGCAATGCCAGCGAGATTGTCACGTTTTTTTCTTCAATTCACGACAGGTATCTACTCTCGGTTCAAGAACTGAGTGGTGTCGTGGAGAGAGCCAACGTCCTTCGTAATTGCGCACGGCTCTGCTTAAATTTTGCACAAACAACGAAAGGGCCTGTACGATGAGTCTCTTCGGGGCCTCAACTACGAACCAGGCACAGCCTGCGAAAACTGGCTTCTTCTCCTTCAATAATCCTTCCTCCAGCCAACCGGCCAACTCGACGTCTCTCTTCGGTCAGCCGCAGACGCAACAAACACAGCAACCACAGCAACAGAGCAGTTTACCGACGTTCAGCTTGGGCGGTCCCAAATCGCAGCCTCAACAAGGAGGTGGTTTGTTTAGCACATCTACGCAGACACAACAGGGTGGAGGTCTGTTTGGGCTTGGATCGCAGCCTCAGCAGCAGTCTGGAGGCCTGTTTGGAGCGACACAATCTCAGCAGCAACCGGGCGGCCTATTTGGCGCGACACAATCTCAGCAGCAACCGGGGGGTCTATTTGGCACTGCAACTCAGCCGCAACAACAAAGCGCGTTTGGGCTTGGTCAGTCACAACAGCAACCTCAGCAGCAGCCACAGCGACCTTTAGACCAGACGCTGAGGTTCGGACAATCGCAACAAGGACAACCGGGAGCCCAGTCGCTATGGGAGGAAGGACGTGGCCTCAATGTCTACAGATCAATACCAGTACAGATGAACATCGTCAAGAACAAGTGGGATCCCAGCAGTTTATCCTCACCCCTGCGGACGTACCTATACCAGCATGTGGAGAGTGAAACAGATGCATTGAAATACCGCCCGGGGCCGGGAGAAGATGAAGACAAGTGGGAAGAAGCAGTTTCCCGAAGACCGGGACCTGACTGGGTACCTCTTTTGGTGCAAGGATTTTTCCAACTAGGCCGCAAGGCTCAGATACAAATGGAGGCCGTCCAGAGATGCAACATGATGCTCCAGGAAATCAATACATCACTCGACGTACAATTGGACAAACATCGCCAGAATGTGGCTACACGGTTGGAAGACTGTAAAAGACGACAAGCCTCGGCAGCTCAGCGGACGCTAGTACTGGCAGTCAAAGTCCAAATCTTGCGCAATCGAGGCTATGTGATGGACAACGCTGAAGAGGAATTGAAAGCGAAATTGGAGAAGTTACAACGCGAAGTCTTTGATCCCTCTCTCAATGCACGAGAGCAAGAAGTCTGGGCGAGGATGTTGGGGATCCGTGAACGCGCGAAGCGGCTCAAGGTCGAAATGGAGAAGCTCGCACCTGCGGCTGCCACCAACGGGGAAGACACAACACTGGACGAGGAAACTACCAAAGCTGCTAAGAAGGTGAGTAACTGTGAGCCCCAGAGCAGAAACAGTGCAATTACTGACTTCTCCCGACCACGCAGACACTGGAAGCCTACGAAATTCAGCTACGACATCTACAGAAAGAATTGGAACTTGTACAGCAAGAATTTGAGGAATGGGAGAAGATTTCGAGGGACAGAGATAATGACATCCCTAGGCGGAGGTAATCGAAAGGAGACAGAAACAAATAGGGCGCAAACAGTTGGTCAGGGCTGGTACTTGCGGGTGTGGTGCGCCACTTGCGTGCAAGGTCAAAACAAGGCGAAGCAACAACATCTTGAATAGAGACTGTCAACGATATTTGAGATCCAGGAATTGAGAAGATGTCGTCTGCATCAAAAATAATGCCCTTTCGAACAAGAGTCCGATGGTCCCAGCTTCTGTTCTACTGGAGAACGATAGTATACAAGCTAATGTACAGAGAGGTTTCCCTCCTGCCTGATCCTCATCTCGGAATACCGGGGCCTGCTTTAGCGGGGGAGCTTGCTCATTTGCATGCCCTGTGGCCCATCCGATTCGGGAGGGACGCAACTCTTGTTTGCCGGTCGGGTAATGGTACTAGCAGGGCATCGGAAGCTGAAATCGACATGGTAGTCTTAGAAGAGTTTGCTCGCCCAGTCGACAACGTGAGGTGCTAGTTCCCGAAGAAGTCAGCGTCGGTCAGGCTCGAACAATTCTATATTTGTGTTTTCGTTTTTTGGCTCAACAGATTTGGATTTTTGGGGTTCTCATTCCCGCCTTTTTCTTGTTCTTTCCGCGGTCGGGTGCACTTCTTGTTCTCTGCGCTAGAATCCCGAACCGGACAATCTCCCGGCAGGACGTGGCAGGACGAGGGTTTCGAGGAAAAGTTGAACAGGGAGTGGAGGTAACGTACAGAACCAGAGTGCGATGCAGGTAACAGTGAAGAATTGCACTTGGGACGTGGCTTGAGCCTCGCCCTCGCGGATCTCTTTCTCGGAGAGCTGTTCGTGCGCTGTTTCAGAATACAGGTTGTCAGCCCGTGATAATTGCCAACTCGCGCAAGCTCGCGATGGACATATGAAGGACCATCAGCGCCTAAGGGGTTTCAGAGGGGAGACTTACGTCCGCCAAACATTGTGGAAGAGTAGGATGTGGATTTGTTGTCGGGGTGAGGGTCTTGAGAGCAGACTGGGAGCTAAAGAGGCCCTGGGGTTGTTGAGCAGGTTGGGAAGAAACGTTCTCGAACTCTTTCGAAAAACAAGCAGAGAGCAGAGTCTGGGTGAGCAAGTCAAGGACTGGTGTGTTTCGAGGTACAAGTCGAAATTTCTTGGTCTGATGTCGACGAAGGTCGTTTGACTTTCCGCTTTGGAGAACCTTGAGATTTCTCCACAGTTCGGACAAAATGCTTTGAGAACATCTTCCTCTCACTCATCTTTGGCGACCTAGCTACTAGCCCATGAGGCAAAAACATCTGTACACAATGACGGCTCGAGTTCGAATGCATAATTCTTACGTCGAAATACAGCTCTACCGATCCTTCACCGTGGTATAATGCCAGATCTGCTCTATCTGATGATTTCGCTTTCAGAGAACGGCCATCTTACAATCAAGATGTGCTTCCTTCGCAACATCCAGTATACGTTTGGGCGCAGAACTTCTAAGTTCAAGTAGCCTCGGGTGATCGCCTCCTAGACTTCGTTGGGACCAGTTGAAAGCATCCACAGTCGCACGTCCGAATGGCCGGACACCTCAGTCCGCCATTGACATATCTTCCATAACTTCTGAGCATATAACCCTTGCTGGGTTTCGTTTCAGTCACGTAATCATGCTGGACATTCTGGCACGCATCATGTGCGAAACAAGGGAGCACGTGGGCGAGTCTAGACAGGATACTACAACGGTAAGGTTTGGATAAGACTCTTCTCTGGTCCGATCAGCATTCCCACGGTTTATGCTCGGGACGGACAACGGAGTCAGTACGCAGAACTCACTCTACTAATTGGTGCTATGCATGAAACTGGTGCTTTTATCTTCTTGTTCGGGAATACGTTGTTGTAATCCATGCATCCTGTCACCGGACAGAAGACCTTATGACGACAGTTGGAAGCATTCGAATATCAGAGACGCAGTCTCGTTCCCCTGGCCTCATACGACTTGGTGTTCTTTAAGGGCTGTCTCCTCAGTCTCTTGCACCTGGGTTTCCTCGAGGCAGCAGTACCTTCAGAATAACCGGGAAAACCGTCATGCCATTTGCGCATCTCCTCCGTCATCTCTCTCGCCAGGGGAGGAAGTTTCGGAATGTCTCTTCACCCAAGGGCATCTCCCCCGAGAGTCTTATCGTCGTTCTCCACGATCATGGACGCGTCGACGAGACTATTCGCAGCCAGCTCCAAAACACAAACAGGGAGGAGATCCTAGCCATAGAGAAGAGGGTCAAAAGACTACTCGACATGTGCCTCGTATTCATGGCCTGGATTATGTTTGCTCTGAATTCTTTTGACCGAGTACGTGGTTATGATCGCTCCGAGTTTTAAACCACCAGAAGCTAATGCTACATTCCTGCAGAGCAGTCTTGGGAATGCTCGAGTCATGGGCTTGCAGCAGGATTTGGACATGAATTCGAATCAATACGGCCTCAGCATGATGCTCCTTTTTATTGCATATGTCATGGCACAGCTTCCCTCGAACTACTACCTGGCAAGGGGACGCCCCTCAATCTACCTCCCTGGCGTGATGGTTCTTTGGGGGTGTGTATGTACGGCCACCGCTTTCGTGAAGACTCCGTCGCAGTTATATGCGGTGCGCTTTACTCTAGGTCTCCTGGAGGCACCGTTCTGTGCCGGCTGCCTTTTCCTCATTTCGTCCTGGTATACAAGAACTGAGCTTGGACTACGCAGTGCCATAATCTTATCCGCGCCGATGACAGCGAACGCTTTCTCTGGCCTTGTCGCTTTTGGAATTTACGACACAATTGATGGAGCAAGAGGTCTCGAGGGTTGGCGCTGGCTGTTTATTGTAGGCGGCGCCAGCACGGTTTTCATTGCTGGGGTTGCTTTCTACGTCCTGCCTGATTTCCCGTTCAATACTCGCTACCTCTCCGAGAAAGAGCGGGCAGTTGCGCAGCTGCGATTGATCGCCGACGGTGTGCAGGTTGATGAAAGGGACAACAGCCGCTGGCAAGGCCTCGTCATGGCTGTGAGAAGCTGGCTGGTGTGGATTTTCGCAGGGATGTTCTTGCTCTTGTCGATCGGTGCATCAGTACACAACTTCTTCCCCTCGGTCGTGAACACGCTTGGATTCTCCAGAAATACGACCTTGTGGATGACAGCACCGCCGTACCTCATTGCAGTTGTCGTCACCATCGCCAACAGCCTATTCGCCGACCGACATCGCAACGCTTCCTTCCACGTTATTGGGCCAGCAGCACTGGCAACCCTCGGCTTTTTGCTATTCCTGCTCGATCAAACGTCCACACGACGCGGCGTGTGGATTCGCTACACCGCAGCATTGCTCATGATCGTTGGAGCACATTCTGGCTATCCCGTGGTTCTCTCTTGGGCACAGAAGACAATCCGCCGGCCTAAAGAGATGCGAGCATGCGCTATCGCCATTATCAGTGCGTCTGGAAGCATATCACAGGTGAGTCAAAGTTATATCGTATGGCTAGTGATCAGTTAGTCAAGAAGGAGATTGTGCCATGAAGACTTCCTTTTGAAATATTCTGTCTTCCATGCTCATCCAACAGGACTTCGTGGTGCTGATCCGCTTTTACAGATCATCACTTCCGAACTGTATCCGAACCGCTGGGCACCGAAGTACGAACAGTCGATGAGTTTGAATACCTCATGCGCACTAGGAGCCATAATACTCGCAACTTTCATGCGTATAATGCTGCGACGTCGAAATAAGAGACTTGACCAAGAGGCGGCTATTAACACTGCCTTCCAAGACATACCGGGTTCGGATACAGCACGACAGACGATGGAGCTTTCGTCGTGGAGATACATCACTTGACTTGTCGACTTCGTGGAACCAGATCGTCTAGTGCGATGAGGCTGGCAGGGTCTGCTCAACGGCAAGTATCGAATCCACCAATCCTAATAACGGAAACATCGATCCTCGAATGAACTCAGGGGCTATCTGTGCGAGCTCTGCACTTTGGGCAAGCCATGAAGCCATTTAGTTTCGCCTCTCCTGCATACGAGTACGAGTCGAGTTCAAGAAGCCTTGCGTGGCCAATAATCGCGGTACAATATGGTGGGACCCGGTGCCACCGCTGTGCCCTTGCCCCTGGGTCGCAGGCATCATGTTTAAGGCCCCCAATGGCCCCATGGGCCGAGAGTGGACGTTTCGATCACCGCAGACGTCGAGGATTAGATTTACAGGGCTCAGTGGCCGTTTCCCGACACTTGCTCACCGCAATTTGTCATCCATGACAGTCTTTCCGTTGGGGCGGGCGATTATCAAGGACAAGTTATGCAAAGCAACTGGTAGCCAAAATACCCCGTGGTTTTCTGTGGCCAACAAGTCAAACGAATTGATTAGTCCGGAACCAATCAGTCCGGGGCTCCCGATCTACGAGGGGACGAGGGGGCTAATCCCCTTTACGGCGCCCAATTTCGCATATCAAACTTGCCGGGCACACTAGGTTCGCCCATTGTTCAACGTACCTATCGCGTTAACCTTTCAAAATCGTGGAGCATGCTCGCCGTTTGGAGCCCAACCAGTCGTGAGGGCAGCTGCTCGCTCTAGACTTGTCTCTTCCCGTGTCTGGCCCGTTTCGACAGAGACCACGGTATGAGGCGCCAGTCCCTGAGATGCATATGTGATGCCTGAATTTGGAAATGGATTGGTCGCGGAGCAAATCTCTGTTACCCAAGGCAGACGCTAGCCCAGGCATCACGCAGACTGCGGCTCTGTCTTTGCCCGTGTCAAAGTTGTTCTTTAATGCTCTTGCAACGAAGGCGAAGGCTGCGCCCAACTTCGTCCTCGAGGTTCAAGCGGCTCTTGCAGCCTTAGCTCCATTCCTACCAAAAACAAATCTACGTGTACAAGAAGGTACAGCTGCGGTACCGTTCGCCAATGTCGCACAATAATGTACCGGCAGCGGTCTCACCCTCAGACTCAACGGCCCATCCCACAGGAATATCCAGTCCGACAACGGACAAGTATCCAGCAGATACCTCTGCATTCCAACAATATCCTGAAGTGGTGACTCAGCACCATACCCAGCCTCACATGCAGCCTGACTCGGTCTACCAACAACCACAATACCCTTATGGCAGTGGCTATGCAGTAGAAAAGGGCGAGCCCGTATCGCCGCCTCCCAGACCTAATCCCTGGGGCCTGTCCCCGCTGGCATTCGGATTGCTGATAGCAACGATTACCGCTGTTGTGGTAGGCGGCGCAGTAGGCGGTGGTGTGGGCGGGGCACTATCAGGAAACAAATCGGACTCATCCAGGTAAGAAGAACTGGTGCTCATACATAGATGATGGGTATGCTAAGACAATCAAGTGCACAAGTCTCAACAACGACCGTCACTTCAAGTATAACAACTTCCCCAACAACCACCACCTCTGGTCTGCCAGCTCCCTCGTCACTGGAAAATTTCGTTGTTCCCGAACCCTACTATGTCAACACGCTTGAAAATCCTGGCTGCGCAGACGGCAACTCCCGCATCGACGTCCAGTACGACACCTCTTTTGACCTCTTTTGCGGCGTCGACATGCTCAACCACGTTGCCGATGAGAACAACCCAGACTTACAGGTTGCTGATATTGTGGGACTTTTTGCCTATAGTCTCACGGATTGTCTGTACGCTTGCTCGAGCGCTACACACTTCGCACAACTTTATGGTCAAAATGAGGCGGGTGGAAATATGCAACCCTGTGTCGGGGTAACTTGGACATATCAGATGGCACAGAGCAATTCGTCAAATTTTGCTAATTGTTGGCTGAAGAACGGAACATCGACTGGGTTTCAGTGCAATACATGCATCAGTGGCAAGGTGGTTCAACCCTAACCCTTGTCCTTGCCCTAACCCTGACCCTGGAACTTCTGGTTTTCCGCTTCCTGTTCGAGAGGGCGTCCCCGAGAGAGCGCGGCTGGAGAAAATTTGGACGTCCAACTGTTGTTATAATATCGTGAGAGCCTCAATGATATCGCTTTAACTTGGCATGACGACAGTGTACGAGGTATAGCAGAGGCGAATCTGTTGAATGCTAATAAATTCTACTCGGCCGACCACTTGTATACCATGTGCCTGACCAATAGGAAATAATGCCGGATCCCCGCTAATTATTGACTACTGATTCAGATACCTCACCTAGTCAAGTGGCTAGTTATATGCCATGACTCGCGCTCACCACACCTGGCATCCACCTTTATTTCCCCCGGTTCATTTATCACTTGCTCGTATGTAGTTTTGTCTTTGAACTCACAAATCTGTTGAGGAACTGGTTTATATCGCACTTGCTTGCCCTCTCATCTGACCATTTTCTATTGATCCTATTATTACTGGGCCTTCAAACCTTCGACCGCATGTATCGCCTCTTGAGGCAGTGCACCCTCACGATCGAGTGCCTCGACAACCTTGATTCAGGGTTCAAGAATCACTGCGCTTTCTGTTTCGTGGTCTGAACTCTCTGAGTGAATAGGCAGAGCTCTAACAAATACCATTGCAGGGTTGAGTTGGGTTGTGGACAGTTGGGTTGTGTATCCTGTGCAGTCGCGGAGCATTCCAAGCAGATTGTCGAAAAACTTCTACGGTCTGGCGGGTCAGTCACCACGGATCAACTCCTGTTTCATGCATGCAGGCGTCAAAGCGCAGACAGTCTTGAGATTGCTCAAATACTGCTCGACAATGGTTGTCCGATGAATGTCTTGGAATTCCAGAACCATCCAGTTTCGTTTGAGAGCCTCAAGCACATGGGGTTAGGAACTCCTCTGCATGAGGCCATATTACGCCACAACGCACCCATGGCTTAGTTTCTCTTGCAGCATGGACTTGACCAGGAAATCCAAAACACCAACGGATTTCTACCGATCACTCTGGCCCAGGCGGCCGCCCCGACATCAAATAGTCCTGCTGCTGTAGCAGTCCGGGATATCTTGCGGACTGACATTTTAAAACGCCAAAACTCTGGCCGTGCAAGTCAGGGGTTGCAACCTCCACGTGCGATGTTTTAGTTCACGAAGACGGGCAATACTGATCTTTGGGTTGGGGCGCAAGGGTGAGAAAAATCCATACCAATCATCGTCTCTCTACAATCCAGATCAGAAGACCGATCGTATTTTCTTTGACTTATCGGTCGATAAACCAGGACTTGTCCTTCGTATTGACAGTGGGATGCTCGGCTGGTTGGCGGATAGAGTTATACCAGAGCACTTGGGTTATCTGCAGTTTTACAGCGGGAGTTAATGTGGTCGTGTGTTGGAGTGGAAACCATAGCAATAAATTAATATGGAAACAAGCAAAATGAGGCGCTCCGTAATCTAAATACCATCCCTAGCATGTCCATCCACTGATACCTTACCTACCTACAGAGGTAAAGGTACTGCTCAAGTACTGTTCTATATACTTGTCCAAAGTAGTAATGCCCCGACGTCGCTTTTAAGCCGCCTTCCCACTTCAGGGATGAGCGGGCTCTCCTTTGTAGAGCGGCGGCACGTTAGTCCCAAAACGGAAGAAGGCACGAGTAGATTTCCCAACCTTTGGTGACCGACTTCATTACACATTTATCACTTACTGCTAGTTTCTCTCTGAATTCACAGGAATTTGCCTCTTCTGAACCCTACTCCCCTCTCACTTGGCCATTCCGCTGTCCTGCTGAGTCCTCGAAAACTTAACCAGACGCATTACCTCTTCAAGCAGCGAGTGCTCATTTCAATCATGAGTGACTACGGAGAGGAAGCACCACCTCCTGATGCCGAGGGGCTCGATCGACCGGACGAGCGCGAAGACGAGCTCGACGACCTGCACGACGAATTTCAAGATCCACAACCGGAGCACGATGCCGACACTCGACCAAACGCCGCGGACGACTCGGACGACGAATCGCTCCTCTCCGAAGTCGACGAAGCCCAATTCGCGGATTTCGACCCCAAAGCCGTGGAAGTCGCGCCTGATTTTGACACACTGAACAAGTCTATTAAAGTGAAGAAGAGGAAGCGAGCTGAGGGTGAGGAGTCTGCGCCTAAGAAAAAGAAAGAGAGGCGAAGGGAGAGGAAGTCACGACGGGCAGAGAGCGAGGCTTTGTCTGGTGACAACGAGGTCGAGGGCAAGAGGCGCAAGCAGCCAAAGGCTGCGGATGGCGAGCCGCGGAGGCGCGAGCGAGAGGAAATCGACGAAGAGACCCTGTCGCCTGAAGAGCGCAGGAGACGGGCGTTGGACAGAGCAATGGACGCCGCGGTCAAGAGATCATCAGGCAAAAGAATGAGAAAAGGCGAGATCGTAAGTCCTCAAGAGTAAGGTATGCCAACCTCCAGTACTAACAAAGTCCCCAGGACCTCGAGCAAGCGGCAGATGCGGAGATTGAGGATCTACGGAACCGAATGATAACGGCGGCTGAGACCGACGGAGAACTGGTGCGACAAGGTCTGCCTGCCTCTCAGAAACTCAAGATGCTGCCCGAAGTGGTGAGCCTGCTCAACCGGAACACATATGTGCAGTCTATCCTCGATCCAGAAATGAATCTACTGGAGGCGGTACGGTTTTTCCTCGAGCCTCTCACGGACGGCAGTCTACCGGCATACAACATCCAGCGTGAACTATTCGCGGCTCTCAGCAAGCTGCCCATGAACAAAGAGACTCTGATCTCTTCTGGCATCGGCAAAGTCATCCTATTCTATCGCAAATCCAAAAAGGCCGAACCAGCAATCAAACGACAAGCCACCAAGCTCATGGAGGATTGGTCGAGACCCATTTTGGGTCGTAGCGACGACCACACCAAGAAAGTCTGGGCCACGGCAACTTATGACCCAACCAGGAGACGAGAGACCGCACCGGCTGCTGCCATTCCCAAGGCAAAATCCACCGTTGCTCCGGGTGAGAGGGTGAGCAACAGGGCCAGGGTCCAGACGAGTCACCTGAACTTTCACATTGTACCCCAAGTCTCGTCTACTGTTCCACATCGCTAGACAAGGGAGATCTCAGTGAAACACAGCTTCAAATTCGGCTTCTTGATGGGCTTGGGTCACAACGACACGCCATCGGTCGTGTTTTCAACGGCATACGTCTGTCTCAGCTTTGCGATTTACAGCGTTGGGAAAAGTCCCTCTAGCCCCGTTCGGGACGGCGGTTCGTATTGAACGATGAATCCAATGGGTATTTTGACCTTTGAAAGTTGTGTTCACTTGCATGTTTTTCGCGATGGCAATGTTCTCTTCCTCCATGAGTTATCCATCTCCCTCCCGCAGTTTTCACTTCGGCACCATGACATACTGGCATTTCCACCGCCGTTATAGGTCCACCCAATTCTTACTCATGAGTCTCACTCGCTGTAAGTGCCATGTCCATCCCGCAACGACATCAGTCCCCCTGCATGCGACCGTTGTCGCCAGCCGACGACGTTGTTGCGTCGAGAAAAGGGTAAGAACGTCCGAAAAGAGAGGATCACGGCATAATCATGTGAAGGACGGTCCTGGAAACTCTTGTAACGATCTGAGAAACTCTCCAGCGACTTACCGTCATGCTGATTTGCTCGTAGAAATCCGTAACGCTCCTTGTCTCCGAGGTTTCATCCCTTATCGTCGTGAAGAATCCAGGCTCATCTCCCACCGCACCAGTGCAGGGCTGCAGTGCAGGGCTGCAAAGTCGACCTGGCTCATGGAGATGGTCTGCGGAAAGCCGATCTTTCACTTTTGTTGGCCGGGCAAGAGACTGGGGTATGCAATTTTGGCGTCCTCTTACTCGAGAGACCGACCAATCCAGTGGTACATGTCAGCTATGTAAGTGGTTGCGTGCTCCGAAGGCGAGCTTTTCTCGAAAAGCCGCATGAGAGGAGCCGCAACGTTTGCCAAATCGTTCAGTGTGCAGCAGGAAGTGTAGGCCGTATCCCTGACGGCAGTCAGTGAGGCGGCAAGCCACCATCTCGCGATCAAGTGCGTGCTGTTCGCGCGGGACTTGTAACGAGGCGAAAATTGCCTGCAGTAGGGTTTATTTCGCTGGAGCTGGATCATCAGGAGGAGTACGAGCATCGTCGACTCTTTTCACCAAGTTACGTCGCACATCTAGCCTTCTCAGCCTTGCCTACCTTCAAGCGCGCCAGCGAACGCGCCGGACCTGCAGTTCGAACTCGGTCAGGAAGTAGTCCTCTCTGACGGTTTAGAAGATGCGCTCTCTGTGGTGAGACTCTCGCGCCCTACTGCCATTGTAAGTACCAGTCAACAATCCTGGTCAATACCACGATCCGAACACGTCCTTTGTCTCCAGCACATCGTGCGGTGTCGAGCAGACCAGGCACACGCCCGGCATTGGCGCAGGTATGAATTTGTCCCGTGACTGACCACGATCCTCGAAAATAACATTCTCTGGGGACGCTTCCAATCCAAAACCGTTTACGCCTAGGCGACGACTTTGATGTTTGCAGTAACAGGCGCCCAGTGATAAATCAATAACCAAGCGCAATAACTCTTCGAGTCTCTCGGTTCGAGGTGCTGAGCGCGCGCGCAAGAGTCCTGTCGCTGATGAGTAGTCGGAAGAGGTCATTGTCGGCAATAGCATAGCGTGGCGCTGTAGGTCTGCGCACAGTTTCTTTCCAAAACAGTGTGTGTTCGCTGAGTTCTATCGTGTTGCGGAAGGTTGGATAGGGCAGCTGAACCCTTCGTGGCAAGACAATAACCACCAAACGTTGCTGACGGGCACATCCTTCCGTCCCGTTTTCGAGTGTCTCCACGTACGAGATCTGTGAGAATGATTTTCAAAGTCTCCTGATGTTGGACGCCGAGTTATAATACTTCTCCCACAAGGGCATCAAAGATTGCCACAATTGTCTGGGGGTGGTCGCCGAAAACATGGAACTTGCCCTTTCTGGAAGTCCCAAGGGCAGCGAGTTCTCATTTGTCACACCATCGCAGGGTTGAAAGCAGATCAGAGAAGCCTGGGGCCGCCTGGAGCCCGCCTGGAGACGACTTTGCGCAGCAAGGGCATTTTCCAGTGTCTCCCGAGAGTATCCCGGCTCCTCCGTGGAGATGCTAAAACAGCGCATTTTCTTATGATTTTTGCAACAGCTGCTCCCCTTTCTATCGGCAAAACATTGGGCTGGCTCGTCGTCATTTCTCGTAGGGTAGCTTGTGGTAGGGGCTTCTGAGGTTTCCTTGTTGTCGGCGGGTGCTTCCGGGCGACTTGGTGATCAGGTTTCGTCTCAAACAACCCTGGCTGATGATCATTCAAGCGAAAAAAGAGACTGGCGCCAATGGCTGGTGAGGGAACTTTGTATGGCCAACGCTGTGATTCGCGGTCAGTGAAACCCGAATGGGGATGGGATTTGTTGGTGGGAGACGCCGGCATCTCCAGGCCGTCGCCTGATGTCATGGACTCCAGAAGCAGCAGAAACGAGAGAAAATGCCCGTTTCGACCATTTTGCTGGAATAGGCATCTCGCTCCGTCTGGTACAGATCCAGCAACCCGGCCACATTGGGAGTGATTGAGCTCATTCCAACTTCGTCTGCTTCTGGTACTTCTGCCCTCCGTGAAATTGAGAGAATAGACGCAAAGACAAACACGAGATCCGAGACAACTCCCTTCATAGATTGTTGCTGCGTAAGGACGAGTTTCCAGAAGAAATTGGCTCAAACGCAGGCTGACTGATGCCGCACTGGTACCAAGCAGGGAGCTTATTCATTTACCAGAACAGCCATCCCAGCTGCGGCGAATCACACATCGGTTCACCACTTCCGGGCTTGCTTCGCACTCCCACTCTGTGGTGGGTTTTTATTAGCTTCGCTACGTCGAATTGTACGCACGGCGACTATATATCATTGACTGTTCGCCATCAGCTGCACTTGCATTTTCCTTCACCACCATCCCCAAGCAGCATCCAACATATTCAGACGACAAAGTCCCGCAGTCGCCCCTCAATCCATCCACCATACCACCTCAACACCTGACATCATAACACCGCAACCATGAAGCTCCTCACCAAGGAACAAGAAGCAGAGCATTACCGCCAGACCCTCAAAGGCGGTACAATTGGCGGTCTTGCAGGTCTCGCCGTCGGTTTCGCCGGTGTCGCCTTCGCCCATCGCCGCTACCATTTTTTCCGCAACCTCACTCTCCCCCTCAAGGCATTTCTCGTCACATCCTCCGGCACCTTCGCCGGCATCATCAGCGCAGATCACTATTCCCGTGCCTTCGAAGCATCGCAAAATCCCAAAGAAGTCGAATTCCGGCAGCGTCAGTCCGAACAGGCCCTCTTGGAGAGAGCGAACAAAACATGGACCGAGCGGGCAATGGACTTTGGTCGCAAAGAGCGTTATAAGATCGTCTTCGGCTCATGGGTTGGCTCCATGTTCGCAGCGTTTGCCCTGGTCAACAGAAACAAATACCTCACTGGCCAGCAAAAGATCGTGCAGGCAAGAGTTTACGCCCAATTCCTGACAGTTGGTGTCTTGATAGCCACCGCCGCATTCGAGATCGCCGACCAGAGGAGCGGGCAGAGCAGGTGGGAGACGGTCAGATATATCGACCCTACTGACCCCGAACACAAGCGCATGTTGGAGAAACAGGTCGAGAGAGACACTACGAGCCAAGGCACCGGCAGCGGAAACGACGACCTGTGGAAAGAGATGGTCGAACAAGAGGAACAGAGACTGAAGGCCAGAGAGGAGTATGAGAAGGAACATCACAGGAGGCACAAGAACGGCAACGGAAAGAAGAAGCAGGAGCAAGAGCACAAGGAATAGAGCACGGCAGCTATCCAGCTTCCAGCGACTCCTCGGAGGAGACGTCTAATTTGCGAAGGAAGCGTTGACTCTGAACTCAATGGTCTTGCCGAAGGACCTACGACGCCCAGTCACGATTTGCGACGCTTGACGACTGGTTCATCTGTGTACATTACAACAAACCCCACCGATATCAAACATTTTCCGACAAATGGACCTTGCCAATGTTTGGCCCTTTGTTTCGAGCCTCAACACCGACCAACGGTTCAACACTATCTCTCTATATCGCGCCGCTTCCATTCAACGACACAAAACTTGGCATTTGACGGAGTAAAAACGGAGTATATATCTCGGGTGCAGCATCGAGAAAAGGAGGGAGGATCCGGCGTTTTTGACATGCTCTGGATCTTGACTGTATGTTTGAGCACAGTGGCCATGTGTGTGTGTGCGCGAAAAACTATTTTCTTTTTTCTTTTTCTCCTCGTTTTCAGACTGGAAAATCTGGTGAGAGCGAGCAGCGAGCGAGCATATCATATCGGGGGATAAATATCCTAGTTTTACTTTAATGTCAGAAAGGAAAAGAAAACAAATGCAAATATCAAATATCAAATATCAAATATAACATAAAGCTCGGATATTCAACGAGTATAGCTTCCTCACCTTTACTAAAGACGCCAATGACACTACTACAGCTCGGACGAGGCAATGGAAACGAAGTATACACAACATGTTCATATTCATGTCCATAGAGATCTAAACATCTAACAGCGCTCGAAACACCGTCGCATGCTCTACTGTGGGCGCATGTCTGTTTGTACAGATAAGGTAGTGCCTAGAGGATATCCCCCTTCTGTTATATTCGTACACTCTCGCCGAGGTGGTACAGGTCCCAAGACGTCCTCAAGTCCAGATTCCGGGCACGGACCTGAAATGCAGCATCAAACCCTACAGACTCCTCAATCAGTTAGTCAGCCAGTTAGTCAAAATCTGTCCCGGGCAGCTTCGGGAATGCCCACGACCCTGAACCCACAAGTCTGCGCGCGAAATCTGGGGAAAACCTGCAGTCCGGTCGTCATTCGCCGCCACTTTTCATGGCGCCTGCCGCCCAGCCCAGAAACATGAACCTGCCAGTTCCCAGAGGATGCTATCCCCGGGCGAACTCGTGCATCAGCTCTTTGTCCAGCGACAGCCAGTCCTGCGCGACCTGCAACCCTCGAATCCGCTCCATCTCGATCCTGTGCCAGTCCCACTCGCCGCCTGCTTTGTCGCGGGCCGCGGTGAGAGGAGCGAGAGGTGCCGAGGACAAGATGGCTGTGCTGGTCTTCGCGGCCGCTGTCTCGAGTTTTTCGACGATGGTATCGGCGCTGCGTAGGGTCGCCGGTTCCGGAATTGGAGCAGCCAGGGGGCCTTCTTGAGGCGTGGAGATTACTGGTGGTTCGAAGGACGGTCCTGTAGTGGCGGTCGAATCACCCTTGTTGGTGGGAGGCAGAGGATTCTGAGGCGGTGCCGTCATGGGCTCCGACTCTTCTGATGACGACGACCATGAAGACACTTCTCTCTGTGCGGACTTGTCTTGTTGGTCTGCGCTGGCACTGCTGTTTGCGGGCTTGCGCGGCAACCATCCAGCTGTGGTAAAGCACCGTTCCGGAGACACAGTGAATCTGCCCTTCTTAACCACGTACTTGCTCAATGCCGATGCCAGGAGGACTTCTTGCTTTCCGCTGCGCGATGCAGGCCGGATGAACCAACTGCCCACCACAATCCACTTGTTGTCCCACGCAAGTATCCTCGAGCGAACCTCGTAACGCTCGTATGGTTTGATCTCTTTGTGGAAGGACGTGTGGACGCTGCCCAGTATCACATTCAGCGCACCCCTGTGGCCTTCGCGCTCGAGATGCTTATCCCCTTTTTTTAAGCCCGGGATCAAGAGCTTCGTCATGAGCGCCGTTCGGCTTTCGTCCAGGTCGACGAAGTAGGTGCTGTTGGATTTATGCAGATTGTAGTCCGTCTCGAGCAGCGGGGAGCGCGAGAAGATGGAGACGGGTTCGAAAAGAGGGTGTACCGAGTCGGACAACTCGGACTGCGATTTGATCGTGCGCTGGACCCGCGCTTCCGTGTACCAGTTCGTGAACATGCGGTAGAAGAGGCGTGCGTGCCAGGCCAAGGGAAGCGATTTGAGATTGACGAGGGCGAAGAGAATCGCGAGCGTGCGCCACGACAAGAGAGACGAAAGAGACGGCATGGCGATTGAGGAGGGCATGGCGGAAGGAGTGAAATTCGTATGAAAACAAACGGCTGGGAAAAGAATGTGCTGGACGTTTTTCTACTCTATATTGACATTATGAACCAAAGGAAATCTTGTGCAGTCGTCTAGCAAGGAAGATACCTAGGTAGACACCGCCGTTGTCTATTTTGTATGTATTACAAAAGGTCAGTGAGAATGAGGGGCGAAGATGAGGTGAACGAACGCAGCCTGCGAGCATTGCGAAATACGGAGAAACTATATGCCGTGGAACCCCACTGAGATATTTGTCCGAGGCATTCAGAGAAAAGGCACAGGTACAACCAAGTATCCTTGGGACGAGGAGGATCTCGCCTTTTTGTGGACGAGAGCCAAGGTCCAGACCTGACCTATTATTGAGCATTGTTTTGCGCTGGGATGTAGGTCAGCCCCAACCCTGACTGAATGTCATTGTTGCCATCTCACGGCACAGGATGGTGATTGATGCTCCCTTGAGAAGATTGCCAGGATGCGCGATCTCCCTGAGAAATCCCTTCATGTCCGAGGTTCTAGGAACTCGAATGCATCATTTGCATGAGGTGAAGTGCTCAGCATTGCGTGCAACGATCTGGAAAACGCTTTATCCAGGATCGCACTGCCTTGAGTCAGTTTCTGAACTCAGTCGATCGTCTCATGATGCCAAGTACTCGTACTTGTATGTAAGTACTCCGCAAGTCAATCCTGACCCAAAATTCATTTCCGCGATTCGGGTCGTGTGTTCAGCCGTTACACTTGGCAGGAAGCAGTGCTTTGCTCGGAATCAGCTGGCGCATGTGGCGGAGACGTGGGCGGGTCGCGGTCAGGGATTCCTTGGCTTCTTGTAGGACCGCTCGAACAATGTATTTGTACCTACTCGTACCTCATGTAGAGGTCATCCTTGACAAGCTGGAACTACTTTCCAAGGTTGGCTTGATCGGACAAAAGTTCATCAAGGATGGACCACTGCACAGACCTCAAGTGGCGAAATGTAAGAGTATGTTCTCGATACGAGAAACGTGTTCACCCGATCCAGACAAGTAAATATTTGTGCCCTGGGCATGAATCCCCTGATCCCTTGGTCCAGCCCATGTCCAAGACAAACAACATTCCACTCCCTGATGTCTCATACGAACAAAACATCCCAAGCAGCCTTACCAGTGAAAGCCGTGTACGAGGCCTTTTCATGGCCAGGTCAACTGACGGATAAATGCCGAGTGTACCGAGTACTTGTACCTATTATGTCAAGACTACCGAGTATAGCTACTTTGGTGCCTGAACATGACCCCTGCCGCAACTGCGCCTCCCGATCTGGAACAAGCTCTGCGTGCTCTGCCAGCCACCCGGTTTTTTGTGTCCGTGATATCTTCACGCGACCTCTGTAAGAATGCTTTGCGAGGCCGGAACTCAACCACTCCTTTGCGTGGTCCGAGAATGGAGCTGGCGGTGGCAAGCTGATGGTTGCTAGCATCTGTTAAGCAGGGACAGAGCAAAGGTAGGTGTTTCAAGCTGGTCGACCTGGAGAAATTCCGAGCCAATCAACGCGGTGGAGTCTCGGATCGTGGCAGCGGGGTCTAACCTTATACGGAATGGGGGCTTGTCGTCACGCGCCTAACCATTGGCTGCAGTCGACCGCATGTTTCCCTCCCCCTGATCATCCCATCCAGCTCTCTCATTCTTCATTCCTGGCCTTCCTTTTCCCTCTTCTCTCCCCACACCCACCGCGACGGCCTGCTTCAGCCTCCTCCGACCATCTCAGGAGACCCGTCCGAATTGGTCTGGTTTGATATTCCCCTGCGTCATTCCGGAGCAACTTACGATCAAGCCTTGTCCGCATCTCCTATCGCCCCTAACCGATCTATGGGGTATCTCGGACCAATCTCCTATTCCGCAGCTCTGTGCTTCCCATCGAGATCCACATTCTTCTCACCAGCTCCTCTGTCTCGCGACGAATCAAATATGCATATCTACATTTTGTGTGAAAGAGCTGTTCAGCCATGTCTAAAGATCTCTTTGTTTTGAGCGGGCAGGCCGAAGCTCTCACTGGGCGCGGCCTTCTGAACAAGCTTGTCACTCCATAACCTTCACCCTGGCCGTCAGTTTGCCACGCGCGAAGGGCACGAGTAGAATGCTTTGCTGCCAATAGAATGCGGTGTTTCATGTACCCCTTGCACACCACTAACACGACCAGCATGGCCTGCACTGACCGGGGTACAGCTTTTGGCTTGTCCAGGGGTTTTTGCCGACTTCCAGGTATTGTACCAAAAATCTATATAGAAGCCGGCCAAGAACTTCCTCCCATCTTGAGAGTTCTCCAGAGCTTCATCTCATCTCATTCATTTTTGTCTCAACTGTGGCAGGCTAGTCCTACATTCCTTTGTTGACCTTTCCACTCTTTACCCTGCCTGGTGCAGTACACACGTTCCTTTCAAAAATCAGTTGACTCAGCAAGTCAGCGACCGTTCCTTTGTCAGTGACAAACAGGTACTCCATCCCCATTCACTGTCTATTGCTTCACCAGGTGCTTTGTTTTTGCCCACTATTGTCAGTCTTCACACGCATTGTCACCCATCACAAGGCTGAGGCAGTCGCTTGTCAAATCCTGTTGGCTTTTGTGCTCGATTGTTTGGGGTTTTCCATTGTCCTCATCATGCACCAAACCATTTTCCTTTTATAACCTGCGAGTATTCTATCCATCTTGAAGTTCACCATCACCATACAAACACTCATCCGCTGTTGAAGATTCGACAACTCCAAAACATACCTCTGACTCCAACATTCAACTGACAAGTGTCTCAGCGCGATCCGGCCATTGCCTACCCAACACATTCATTTCTATCTCCAAACTCGACTCAACATCTCTCTACCGACTTTGAAAATGGTGGTCTTTTCCAAGTCTGCGGCTCTTGCTGCGCTCGCCTTCTTGGCTGCAGCAGTGGATGCCCACATGATCATGAAGACTCCTGTGCCATACGGCAAATCATCTCTCAACAACTCACCCCTTCTCGCGGACGGTTCTGATTTCCCCTGCAAGCAGCGATCCGGTGTCTACGACGCTGAGGGTGCTAGCAACGTCGCCGCCATCGGGGAGCCTCAGACTCTGAGCTTCCTCGGCAGTGCCGTTCATGGCGGTGGATCCTGTCAAGTCAGCCTCACTACCGATCTCCAACCTACCAAGAACTCCAAGTGGATGGTGATCAAATCCATCGAGGGCGGCTGCCCTGCGTCTGTCCCCGGCAATCTCCCCGCTGACCCCAGCGGCACTGGCGCCTCGACTTTCCAGTTCAGCGTACCTGATGGCATCTCCCCGGGCGACTACACCCTCTCGTGGACTTGGTACAATAAAGTAGGGAATCGTGAGATTTACCAAAATTGCGCACCATTTACTGTCACCGCGGCCAAGAAGAAGCGTTATGCGCCAGCTCCGAAAACTTCAAAGCGAGCGACCAGCTTTCCCGACCTGTTTGTGTGCAATCTCCCTTCGATCAACGACTGCAGCACAGTGGAGGGTTTTGATTATCACTTCCCAGATCCTGGTGCGGACGTTCAACAAGCGGGAACGGGACCATACACGATGCTCGCAGGCGCTTCAGGCAACGCAGGCCCTCCTTCGCAGCCAACCAACTCCGTTCCAGCTGCTCAATCTCCCTCTGCGCCGGCAACTTCTGGTCCTGCACCCACTGGACCGCCATCCTCAGGACCACCTGCTGGACCGCCACCAGCGTTTGCGAGCGGCAACGGTGGACAATACTCAGAATCCGGCCAACCAACGCCCACCGCGGCACCCGGAAACTTTGCAAGCGGTGCATCTTCGGTACCTGCTTCCGCTCCCACCTCGTCAACCAGTGCTAACCCACCACAGGTAATTCCCGTCACGACTCAAGCCACCGCTGTGTCAACCGCTGCCGTAGCGGCTCCCACTGGCACGTCTTCTGGGTCATCGAGTGGCTCCGCCGCCGGTGCTCTGACAGGACCTTGCTCCAACGAAGGATACTGGAACTGCATTGACGGAAGCAGCTTCCAGCGTTGCGCCTCGGGCAGCTGGAGTGCCGTCATTCCTTTGAGCGGCATGAAATGCTCTCCCGGAGTCGCGGCCAATTTCGCCATGACTGCGGCCAACGCGAGACGCTGGGCAGCCTAGATCCATCACCCGGTTGTTCACCCGTCCGTCCGTCCACCATGGATATCTACCATCACTGTCTGACACTAGCACCCGTTCGAGAAGAGTGCAGAGTGATCGTCGGTGATACCTTTGTGGATATCAGAATTTGTTTGTGCGGAGGCTTATCGGAGTGATGGCGCTTGAGGGGATATCCAACTTGTCCTGGCCACCACTCCATGTTTGCATGATGTTATGAAATTCTTTTTTAGCATTGTCTTGTTTTCACTTCTTGTACGGCACGAGCGCCACGACGCATCACCAATGGAAAAGAGGCATCTCATGGTGGCAATTCTTTCATGGGCGAACAGGGGCGTTTGTGCTAAAACAGCTTTTGTCACATTTTCGTCAAGACGGGTTATCAGACCTGGACTGAAAAAGGGGAAAAACTCCTAGAGATCATCTAGGCCTTTGGGAGGCAATATATGCAACACAGTCATCGGAGGATTTGAGACGATTGGGCGGTGGGAATGGCCACACGGATTGGGAGAAAGTGGGCAAATCTGTACAGAAGATTTGACGCTCTAGATAAAACTCAGAAAATGACAAGAGGGTTGTGAAACCAAATCTTTGGTGCGAGAGTCTGATTCTTCCATGTTGAGGTTTGAATATGTTGTGATTGATTCGTGCTAACAACCATGACCGATAAAATATCTTGGCTCGACCTATTGGGCCGTTGAATGGCTGAATGGATCTCTTGTGCAAGGTATTCACATTCCAGTAGCGGCCTCTTGGCTGGAGTAGATCCCACTTCACATGATATTTGTGCAAGTGTCGTCCGTCACTGTTGTCTCTCTGATAGGCCTTGTCTAGAATTGTACCTCGTAGATTATGGATCACGAATTGCTGGGAGAACCATTCGGACCATTCCAGCTGACGAGGCTGGGCACGTCAGGGGGCGTGAATTGTGAGAGCATCAAGACTGACTCATTACTTCATGAAATCATCAACGATTTTTGATATCGAATGTCCCATTTCCCCCTCCTACCTTGTGGTTGTCCGAAGTCTCGAAAGATCACACCCGTCCTGCCCGACCTCAAGTAGCTCACGTCCATCTCCGCCCTATCAACATCAAGGTTCAAGAGAAGACAAACACGTGGGCGTCGCCAGCTCGCCTATTGCAAAGCTTTCTCCATATCAGCACCCGCACCAGCACGTCCTTCCAACACAATGCATCGGAATATTCTTGCCGGCATCGTCACTTTTCTCTATGCATATTTCTTTGTGCTAGAGATCGGGGTTTGTATACTCTTTCCCGAGCAATCCTCGCCAGCTGAAGAATTTGTCACCCGGATTGATTGGCCTGTTGTCGAGACTCACGGACCAATGGTTTCTTGTTCGATTCTCACGTGTGTGCCGTGTTTTGTCAAGCTCCTCTTTTGCAAAAGAGGGAACCAACGCTCTACGGGTTTGACAGTGAGTGAAGCTTCATGGGAAAGCTTTTTACAAGCCACTTGGGCCGAAGAATGCCTCGAGCTCGTTGCTTCTGGCACCCATAATGAAGTTCTCGTGCTCGATGCTATATTAACCTCTCTCCCTTCGCCTCGCTCGAGTCAACTGGTGAGTGAGTATTGGTTTGCCAGCTACTGTCTTGCTTGTCGTTTTATAGGTCAGAGCCATGGCTGTCCTCAGGACTCTGTTCTCCACGCTCGTTGCAGCGACGGGGGTTCTCGCGGCTTCACGGCCCTACTCGTCTGCCTACCTCGCGAAACAGTTCCCCCAGACGTTCACTGACTCGTACAACATCCTCAAACATGTGGGTGCCATCGGCCCGTACTCTGACCGCGTGGGCTACGGCATCGACCCCAACCCGCCGCAAGGCTGTGCCGTCGACCAGGTCATTATGCTCATGCGCCACGGCGAGCGGTACCCGGACACCACGACGTACGGGAGAATCAAAGCCGTGCTCGACAAGCTGGATGCCGCCGGCGTTTCCCAGTGGTCCGGGGACCTGGCCTTTCTGGACGATTGGACCTTCTACATCGACGAGCCGGGCTTTTTGGAGCAGGAGACCTTCTCCGGTCCGTACTCGGGTCTGCTGCACGCCCTGAGACAAGGCACCGAGTACCGCGCCCGCTATGGCCATCTGTGGGACGGGGAGTCCGTGGTGCCCATCTTCGCGGGCGACTATGAGCGCGTCATCGAGACGGCCAGGTACTTCGGCATGGGATTCTTCGGGTACAACTACTCGACCAACGCGGCCATCAACATCATATCTGAGAACGCCACACGCGGCGCAGACAGCCTGACGCCCAGCTGCCCGGCCGACAAGAGCTTGCTGGCGTGCTTCTACGCGAAGAGGACTTTGCCCCAGTTCAACGTCGCGGCGGCGCGGTTGAACGCGCAGAATCCAGGGCTCAACCTGAATTCTTCTGACGTGGTGCCCTTGATGAGTGAGATTGTTCCTCCTTGTTCCCCCCCTCCCCCCCCCCCCTCCTCCCCTTACCAGCAGGCAGACAGAAGAAGAAAAGCAGAGTCACGAACTAACCAAAACCCCTTGCTGCTGGACACTCTTGGACAATAGGTATCGCTACATATGAGCTCCAAGCTCGATCCTATTCGCCCTGGGTGGACGCCTTCACACTCGACGAATGGGTCGCGTTCGGATACGTCCAGGACTTGACTTATTACTATTGCTCTGGGTACGTCTAAAGAAAATCTGGGGGGCGAGAATTACAACGTTTGTGGTTGTCGTCTATATACGAACACGATGTCCCCTCGGGGCTGCTCCCCTCGACCAAATGAATATCCGGCCCTGACCCCGTTTTTTTCTAGTGCCGGAAACCCATACTCAGTCGCGATCGGCCAGGTGTTTGCGAATGCATCGCTCGCACTTCTCGAGGCTGGGCCAAGTCACGATACCATGTGGTGGAACTTGTGAGTACCGTACCACCATACATATAGACCCCTCGCGTCGCGAACGTCCTTTTATGTTTGTGTGTGTGTGTGTTCGAGGGCTCAAAGGCTGACGCTGTCACCACTCCGTTTTGTTGCTTGTCAGTGCCCACGACGCCAACATCACGCCCGTCGTGGCGGCGCTGGGCCTCGACGTGCCCTCATCGCCCCTCCCCAACGACACCGTCCCCTTCCCCAACCCCTACCGAGTCACCGACATCGTCCCCATGGGTGGGCACCTCGTGCTCGAACGGCTCTCGTGCAACGCGACCGCCGCCCCGACCCCCCAGGGAATCTACATCCGCGCACTGATCAACGAGGCCGTCGTGCCCTGGCCCAAGTGCCAGTCCGGCCCGGGGTTCTCGTGCCCGCTGCCCGACTACGCCGACATGGTCGCCCGCGCGCCCAACTTCGTGCAGTCCTGCAACATTTCCGCCCTGGGGTATCCCGAGTACCTCGACTTTTGGTGGCGATACAACACCTCCACCGAGTGGAACTTTCAGCACGGGAGCATTCCCTGGCAGCAGACTTATACCCATGTCAATGGATGACGGTGCTCGTAAAGCACGGTCAGAAACCTCAGCAGTGCACCTGGCTGGTGACGGGGAAAGTTGGTTTGGGCTAGCACAACTTGGGGCCGAGGGGAGGAAGGCTTTTCACACCGTGGTATTCTCTCGATTCTGCTTCGTAGATGCTCAGCGAACGAGCTGGATAGATAGATGATCGTAGTTGGATAAACCAAGTCATTGTCCATACGAGGTTACATACATGTTGTATACCCAGTTCCTCGGTGTCGAGTACATCAATTGTTATTTTTTTTTTCTTTTTTCCCTTGACAAGAAACCGATACAAAAAAAAAAAAAAAAAAGGCACGGACCGATACGTATTACATATTATGTATTATGTATTATGTATTCACCACCCCCAAAGTCTGAACGTCCTCGTAAATTTCCCCTGTCACAGGCTCGTCAAAATACCTACATGCCAGCCATGGACCATGGTGATATGATAGAACCCCATTGTCGAGATCGTGTTCGGTACAGTAGATAGATAGCCAACTACACGTAACGCGCGCGCGCGGGACGGTTTATTTTTGCGGAATATATCGTATCAGAGAAGGACAGCTGCAGAGAAAACGAATTGAGATGGTAGGGAGGAAGAGAAGGAGGGACAGGACGGGATGGGACAGGACAGGACAAGTAAGGGAGGTTGCTTGCTGGACTCCTCGTGTGTGAACAGGGAACGGGGACAGAGACAGAGACAGAGACAGAGACAGAGACAGAGACAGAGACAGAGACAGAGACAGAGACAGAGACAGAGACAGAGACAGAGACAGAGACAGAGACACGACAGATATGTATCACGTACGGAACATGTAATTATTGTCCCTCTCCCCCTTTGCAAGTGCGTAGATGTGCAAGTGTATGTTCTCTTCTCTGACGATAGGCCCGTCCTGTCCTGCCGATAAAATATCAACATTGCTCGATTCTCTCAATGTGCAGTAGTAAGCGCTAGACAGGAATTTTTTACAATCCATCATATCGTGTATGTAATGTAGGTCAGTGTTTGTCTTTTCTCTTCACCATGCCCGTGGCCATGGCCGACATGTCTCTCCTGTCGATAAAGATACGATCGACTCGGGACCAGTCGTTCGTTCGTTCTCCCGCGACCATACCACGATCATGGCTTCGCCGTTGAACTCCTCCACGCCCGTTCAAAGATCCCCTTTATCCTCCCGGCCTCGTCGGACTTGCCTATCCGCTGCTCCAGAAACTTTTGTAAATCATCCCAAAACTCCTTTGACTCTAGGACACTCGTCCCCGACGTCAGTACACCTTCCATGGGCGTGCCTTGTGCATCTTCTCTCTTGATTCCCGTCTGCGCAGCACCTGTCCCTGCCGCCGCCTCCAATGCATCTGTTATGGTCTCGTGTAGCGATGCTGTGATGTGATTCTGAGGCGGGTCGGGAGCGCCGCCCATGATCATGACACCAAACTCCACCTCGGACCCTGCAGTCAACCCGGACCCTTCCAGCGCCTCTGCAACGGTTCCTTTACTCGGTGGTATGGGCTTCTTATTCAAGAGTA